TATTCCCTGCCTACAGACTAATTCCTTGAACACTATAACTTGGAACTTTTTTAAGGGAAGAGTAAATAGGCATTGTCGATCTCATCATCACTTTCCATTACATCAAACGCGCACTTTTTTATTTATATAGTTCAATAAACATAGTTTAATACAGATTTTAAGATGTTCTTAAGTGTGGTTTGTAGGAAAATAGTGAGTGACATTGGTAACGCCACAAGTAAGTCGAGATGACGGTAGTCGTCGATAACAAAAAAGTGTAGACAAACATGTCTGTTCTAAAGCTGTCATCTTCCCCTGGCTAGTCAACCCGTGACCATGGTAGTGGCGTGTAACTGTAACGAAATATCGGGGGGAAAAAAATACACCATATCGATGGTGGAAATTTGAAATATCGTAAGGAACATCTTGTCGTAAGGATAAATGACCTTACGATATTATGTCTCTTAGGACATTTCAAATTTTCACTGTTGATATAAGGGGTAATAATTTCATCGATAGATCGAATTTTGAAATGTCGTAAGCGACATTTTGTATATTTATGTATATTTTCCATTACAACAAAATATTCCTTGCGACATTTCAAAGGACTTCTACCGAATTAGTATGGAGCTTGGTAACTTGGTAATTAGTACTTTATTCCCAGAAAAATTTAACCAGCCTCAACTTTTTTGCTATATCTAGCTTGAAATAAAGAGCTTAGCAAAATAATCTAAAAAATCTTGTGACCTGCATTTTTTATTTAAAACAAAATGTGGTAGATATACTAAATTAATTCCAGCAACACTGCGATACTAAAAAAAAGTCCAAAAGAACAGCAACACTTAAACGCTAAAATATTCAAAATCTTATTTCTAATTGGCTAATTAAATTGCAACAAGAATGACATCTGATGTGTCAATATTTTTTATGGCATTGGCCACTGGCGCATCAGACAAAAAATTACATGAAAATTCGTTCCGTTTCGTGGGTTTGCGTTCAGTTTTACTTTATATAGTATTAAAAATCAGTAACGCTTTTCTGGAAATTGCAGATCAAAAATAAGTTGTTTTTAATTTAGACTTTCTAGATTTTGAGAGCTCTTTACAAAAAACCAACTAAGAGCCTGGTTAAATTTTCCATTTATTTTAATACCACTAAAGGAACAACTCTTTTCCACCGTCGATATAAGGGGTAATAATTTCATCGATGGATCGAATTTTGAAATGTCGTAAGCGACATTTTGTATATTTATGTCTAGTATAAAATGTCGCATTTTGTATTAAGGAACATTTTCCATTACAACAAAATATTCCTAGCGACGTTTCAAATTTCAACCGTCGAATACAATTACATACCTGTAAGTAATGATAATAACTTCAACTTATTTATTATATTTGCCATTCTACCCTGTGTAATATGGCTTAAACTTCAAACGAGATTTGTTCTCGGTCATATTTATTTATTGCATATCTTATTGCACATTTCTAATGGTAGGCAAGTAATAAATACATACTTCGCTGACTATAGTGGAATGTATATGAGTTGATGATGATGTCTTTATACTAAAGAAAGATCTTTCCACACTTTAGCAGAAAACACCATCTTTCAAATACCTTTGGTTAAATGCAATAGCATAACGATAAACAAGGACCCCATATTTGGAGCTAAAATGAAATGTTTTTGGAGACCCATTACGCGGAAAATATACAACGTAGCCATTATTCAGAGCTCAGCCTTTAATCGCGTTTCGATAAACTGGAATTAAAAATATATTACAAATCTCTCAAATCCCAGACACGTGTACTCCAAACATTGATGCCAATTTGTTTTCAACGTTATTGGTTCCATCCCGTTATTTTCGATAAAATACTTATTCAGTCTGAATAGGACTCTTATTCCAATAAAGGTGTCTAAATTTTAGTTTAAAATTTATATACAACAGCCCATAAATATTCGTTTTAAAAACCTGACATTTACGGTGACAAAAACATGCACTTTAACTATAATTTTATTAACACAAAGATCGAACGCAAAGAAAAATTCCTTCGATGTGTGGACTCAAACTTGTGTTTGTATACTTTGGTATACTAACTAACTTAACTTACGTAACTTGGGCCACAGCTCTACCACTTGAGCAACAGATTGAACTTATCGTAAAATAAACGAAAATTCGACTCCTATCAGACCGAAGGAATTTTCTTTACGTCCAATCTTTGTCATTATCATCACCAACAATCCATTTATACGTCCAAACAGGGGCTCCTCTCAGGCGAGTGTTTAAGCCATGCCATAGCCCGCCAAACTGGCTAGTTTTCCTTCACCGAAAAGCTCGTGGTCAATTTTTAATTACTTTTCGCACATAAATTCCGTGAACCTCAGAGGTGCAAGCCCCGGATTCGAACCCACGACCTCAGCTTGACAGGCGGTAGGTCAAACCATTAGGCTACCACGGTTTTCTGTATTAATAAATCGCGATATTTGTAAAATGTTAACAAAGGCTATGAGTGACCATCCGACTGTCACTGGGCACACCTAGTGACAGTCGGAAATCAGAACACATTCTGTGAACAGTCATCAACAGAAAAACCCTCCACCACCTGATTTCATCATCCCTCAAGAGCAACCACCACGTTGCGATTTGCAGTAGCCCGATTGGAAGTCGTTAAATCGACTTCACACTTAAATAGGACGCTGCAAAGACAAAATGTGTAAATAAGGTTTCAGGGATGCTAGTCTAACCCAATGTGACTGCGGTGCTTCTACACAGTCCATATAGCACTTACTGTTGTGCCCCTTGTGACCTAATACCTGCACGAGGGAAGATCTCTACGCGGCCACGGATAACGTAGTCAAGGTGGCAACAAACTATACGAAGTCAATATAGTACTAAAAAAAAAAAGAAATAACTACACATCCTCATCTTCATCTTCTGATAAGAAGAAGATGAAGAAGGAAAATGTTAAAGAAAATTGTTTAAGAAACAAACATGATTGCAACTACCTTTTTTTCTCAAACATTCCACAAAGTTACGTTTCAGAAACGATTAATAAAACATTTTCTTCCAAAGTTGTCAATAACAATGATGTTGTTTTAAATTTTCATATAAACAAATAACATAATTCAAGAATTCTGAGAACCACTAACCTTTTACTATTGAAGCAGTGGCGAAATAAGGAATATTTCGCTACACTCGCATCTCTTATACATTAAAATTCCAGTTACTTATTTTATTATTATTATTATTATTATTATTAGCCTATATCACACGTGAAACCAAATATTGTCAAATATATATATAATAAAATTGCATTGCAGATGTGTGCACGTTTCCTCACGATGTATTCTTTCACCGAAA